AGAAGCACTGTATACTGTGGAGCTCTCTTATCAATTCTTTGTCCTATCTAATGCTTGTGGGTAGCATGCTAGGTTGAAGGAATAACTGAAGGATGTGTACAAAGATTTGCATTGAATCCCAGCTATGGCCCCATGGCCCCTGCTGTCGGGTGCTGTGCCCTGGCTGAAGACTGCTGCTGTCAACGGCTTCCTGCTGGTTCAAACACTGTGGGCAGCAGCAGTCCATTAGGAAAACTGGGAATAAGGAGTCAGAGAGATTTGTTCTCCTTAGAAATTGCGCAATGAACAGCAAGGTCCTTCATCAGCTGTTGCTGCAGTGAAAGACTACAAGCCCTGGATGCTTATGTGCAGACAGCAGTCCAAGGAGTAAGGCTGCTGAGCAGCTGCAGCACCAGCCAACGCCTCTTGCATTCTCCAGCCATTCAAGAAAAGCAAGCAAAGTCCAGAAAAGGCAGCATCGGAGGGAAAGCCAGAAAAACCCGACCCTTCAGACTCACACAAGAACTCACCTAAACTCGTCCACTGCTCCTCTCAGCATGCAGCTAAGAGGAGAAACTTTACCCATCTCTTTCCTCAGATGCTGCTATAATTGCTGTCATTGGATTAATGTGGCAGATTCACATTTACCATCAGTGAAGCAAGAACTGCTTCTCTGCAGTTTCTTCCCACACAGTTTCAGTAAAGCATAGATAAAGGAACCAGGGGGGCATAGTGAACAATGGTTCCTTCTTACACCAAAGTTGAGTGTCCTGGGAAGAAGTCAGAGGCTGGCTGCTCCCACATGGCTGTCAGCAGGTGAAAATTACTCAGAGTTTGTTTGTGTTCTCTCTCTCTCTCATATATTCATTCAGTGTCCATTTGCACAGGTCGTTTCAAAATCAAGCTAGATGTGACCCAGAGAAGGACTACTTTATATTGGCTCCATATTGGGGCCTAAATAAAAGATTATTTCTTGTGAAAATCCACCTCATCTTCACTTCTGGGGAGGATTTAAAGATGCAACTACATATTCTTACAATGTGGGCTGTAGGAGAGCCTGAGTATGTCCCTTTGTCTCTGCTAGGTGCCGTGCTTTCAGCTCTGCTGGCCTGGCCTGCCATTGCATTAATGCACGCATGGAAGGGAACAGATCAGACCCACACAGCGCGGCAGAGAGCTCCTTATGCATCCTGCAGGAAGCCCTACGGCAACTGCGCTCTGTCTGTCCAGATGAGCAGGGACCTGATTTTAAAGGACAGACTTGAAACAAGCTGTTGCTGTTTATGCAAATAGTGACTATTTAGAAAGAAACAACCCCTCAAACCCTCTCTGACTCAGATATTTTTCCCTCTGTTGCCCAGCCACGGCCTCCTGCTCAAGATGTCTCCTGCTGTGTTAGCTCAGCTAGTAAATACCTGTTTGAACAAGCAAGGCAGCCTGTTGGGTGAGAGAAGATGCAGGTAACAAAAGAAATGTCATTCGCCCCATGAGGGGAAAAAATTGAAAGGACTTTCTTGGACACAGGCAGAATCAATGTGGAAGGAAGGATGTTTACCTACAACTGAAAAGCAGCATGTTGCAAAGCAAAGACACTATAATAATTTCTGTTATTCACCCAATACACACACACACACACTGCAAGAAACTAAACCTGTTCTGCCAATTTACAAGAGCCCCAAATAAATGGAGGAAAATTAAATCCTAAGCACCCTGCACTTGCAGAGGCATAATTAGTGCTGCCAAGCTTGTGCCTTTTACCTGGGCTAATCGTAACTGATTCAATCATGCTTAACTTGGTGTGTGGCTAAATTGATGCTTGCAGCTTTCACTTAAATGCAGTCTGTCGTTGTGTGCCACATTTATCTCTCTGTCCTCCTGGCTCTGTTCCTTGAGAGTCATTTATTTTATTTTTTTTGCTTCCCCCTGCCTTTCCCGAAGCAGAGAGTCTTACCTAAAGCTGTCTGTGAAAAAGGACTAAATTTACAATTGCGACTTCAGTGGGGAAGGCGGAGGAACCCTGCCCCATTTATCTGTATCTAAGGTTATAATCTATCTATCTAACCCTCTCTCTCCTCCAAATACACAAAGGGAGGGAGGGGGAGAAGCAGATGAGAGCCACAGCTTGGATGCCCCTGCCTATGTTATTGTATCCATTTTCCAATGGCAACGATGTGTGAAATGAAAATTGGACAGAGCTGGCTGCTCACAGACCTGGAATTTCATACAGGCTAGTCCAGGGAAGGAGGGAGCTGAGAC